AAATATTAAAAAAAAAAAACCCCGAGAAAAAGTTTAAAAAATAAAAAAATGTAGAGTCGTCAACTTTTTGAAGGCCATATATAGGCCTAAATAAAATGTTTTTAATTGTGTACCAGTTTAATGTTGAATATTATTTATGATTTTAACATCTACACAATTTAGATCTTGAAAATTTTTTGATTGAAATGAACAGTTACTTCTTTTGTTATTTCAAACTGCTAAAACTCTGATGATGCTAATTAAGCTAATTTTTGAAAAGTCTGTTTAGTTCTTACACATAATAAATACATTAAAAATGCAATATATGAAGTAATTATTTAATATTTATGTTTATGTAAAAATATATACATATATATCTAACTGAACGTTTAAAGTATGTGACCAAAGTGTCTACCTGAAAGTTAGGGCACATAAAAATAATATTGCTATAACTTTGAAGTTTAATAATTTTTAGAATACTATAATTTGATACTTTCAAATTATGATAACAAACACTACCTCATCATTTAGCCAACTAAGACCTGATAACGTTTCCATGTCTCTTCTTCTAATTGATAATCTAAAACCCTCAACAAGAACTTCATCTGGAGGAGTTGGTTCCAAAGCATCATCTGCTAGTCTTTCCATTTCTTCAGTAAGTACTACAGAAATTAATGCTGCAACTTAGTCTTTTTTCAACTTAACTACTAGGCAAATTAAACAGAAACCTTCTAAGCCTAATCTTCATGACCCAGTGATTTAATACAAAGGATTACAACATAAGATGTAGTTCCCCACACTTACGTTATGAATGCTAGTGTTAATACCACAATTGGTGAATACGCATTTATCATTTTTTTTTTTTTTTGGTAAGATTATATTGCAACCTTGCCATTACTTTTATCTTAATACTACTTAAACTTAATTTTTTTCCTGAAATATTTTTCAAAGGTCTTAATAGATAAATGAATGACTAGAACACTTACTTCTCTGAAACTAATAATTTATGAAACATTATTTTATAAATGCACTTATAAAGTTGTATACTCTTTTCAGTTGAAAAATACAACATACATTTCACAAATATGAAAATTATGTATACAAGATTAGTTTTAAAAAAATGTTTATCACAGTCCAGCCTGTAGATTTTTCACAAGATCTAAAATTTAAATCCGTAAATACAAAATTTAAAACACACCTGGAAAATCAGTGCTTATGTCTTCCTCTTCCTCTTCATATTTTTCAGATATAACAGCAATATGAGTTTGCTCTAGCCTCTTTCTTAACTACAAAACAAGTAAACATATTTTAGAAATGTACATAAAATCTATTAATCAGAAAATTCAAAAAATAAATAAATCTACTTTCTTCAATAACCCTGATGCTTTTTAAACAACTACAAGCAACATTTTTTTCTAGATACAAGTTCTATTCACAATCACTATTTATTTAAATAACATGAGAGATTGTTTAGAGAGATTGAACTGTCAATAACTGTGTTTCAAACTCAATAACTAGAAAATGAAAAATACCTTTTCTTCCCATACTGCACTGTCTGCCTCTCTCTGTAAAATTTAATATCAGGAATCAAATTCATTAAGTACAGTAAAACCTTCAACTTTACTCTAAATGTTGGTGACGTATAGCCCCTTATATTGCTATATACTTTTACTTCTCCAACAGACACATACATACAACAAAATGCTTAGTACTAAACTGAAATACAATGAAAGCTTTTACTCATTCCTCAGCATTACCCAAGCTCATAACTGCAATTTTCTATTACATTGTAAGTAAACTATAAACATTACTTGCATTTTTATGGATTTATCTAAATTTTTTATTAAACATACCGATGTTCAATTGAAGTGTTTTTCTGAATTATTTAATGAATTAATTAATCTAGAATTAAAGAGCATCTAAAATAAAATATAAAATTATCTTTTTTTAAGTTTTAAATTTATGATAGTTATTATTTATCAAACAATGCCATATTTGGGTTGAAAAAAAGTCATTCATGTTCATGAGTTATTAGTGCATAACTGGTCACTGAACATTGACAAAACAGCTTTTTTTTTCATGAAATATACTACAGAATTGATTTTTATAAATAAGTTTTCTCTTTTCAGAAAATGCTTCATGTTAATGTGCCATAAGAGAAAGGATCATTAAAATAATCAACAGAAACAACTTAAAAATTATCAAATATGAATGACTTGACATTGCATAAAACACATTATAATTCTACCTAACACTTTAATCTCAAAATTTCTTCAAGCTTTAGTTATTTTTATATAAAAAAGATAAAGCCAGTGAATGTTACAATGTTTACATTTACAAAGACAAGGTCTAAATAAAATTTTTTTACAAGGAAATGCATTCCTTATTAGTATTAACAATGACTATAAGACAATTAGAATTTACAAATGTCACATTCATTAAAGGCATGCTCCAAAATACTTAACACTGATCCCACCAGAATATTTGTATTCACATTCATGACAGGCTGGAGAAACAATGTGGTAGAACTGACATAGAGTCAGTCTATCAAAGAGTGGCTACAAATGGGTACATACACACATGACCACAGTACTTTAATACTTAAAAGTATTTCTCCACAAATACTATGCAGTTCATATTATGTGTTTTAGACTCACTTTCCTGAGTAACTTAACAGTTTTAAATATGTTAAATGTTTAATGTTAAACAATAAACATTCTAAATAACCAAGTTTTTAAAGCAATATTTATTTGTTTATTAGTGTATTTCATTACATTTTTTTCATTGATTTATGATTAAATGTAATATTTTCCAGACAAGGACATCTTCTATATGATATTTTTTTCTAATGGTTTTTTTTGTAGATTTAAAGATTTGATCATATTCACTATTTTTAAACTTGAAAAGATAAAACTTCTAAAAAAGCCCCATTGAATAACACTAGCTATATCATTTTACACATATCTCAGCTTACACAAAACACATTACCACCTCATATTCTTCAGTATAAAATATAATGAGAAAATATATATCTTTTTATTAAAATACATAAATCTAATTGTAATTTTATCACATTGATTTTTTTTTATTACAGTAATAACAAATTAAAGCACCTGTTTTTGAAGAATCTGAATCTCCTTTTCTTTGGTCAAGAAAATCTGTTCTCTTTCTTTTGATTTGTCCATGAAAGAACATTTCCTAATTAAAAAATATTAACATGTATTTGGTTCATTAGCAACCAAGAATTTGATTCAAAAATATTTTTATATGTTGTAAGCCTTAAACATTTGTTTAAAATTATCAACATTATCACAAGCATATGAAAGTTTTCTCTGAATGTAGGTTGGTTTTTCAATCTGTACTATAATTTATATACTTAGATAATAAAGTGCTCTGGAATTTTATTGCTTTTCTAACCAATTTATTAAGTTGGATTTGGCATTCTTTATTGTTTTCGTTTCTATAAAAGGGTTTCACACTGTTGTAACATTATTTAGTAATAGTAAATAAAATGCATAAGTTACTACACATCTTCTGTACTTTTATTATATGTTTTTGTAGTCAGGTTTCTATATCGGTATATTATGTTTAATTATTTCTCTACAAAAATATTTCAATACATAAAGTAATTAAAACCATCCCTATCTCCAACATTTACAGATGACTTGCATTAGTAAGGAGAGTGTTGTATCTAAAAAAACCACATGCACAAACATTTGTACATAGCAAAGATTAGGAATAAAAGACGTTGATTTGGGGTAGAAGCTGAAAGTTCAAGGAAATGTGATGTTTTTTTTTTTCTTCTAACAACATAAAGAGTTGATTTCTTTCTGCGTTTTCTCCTCCAAACTTATGGTTTGTACATTTGTGATAATACTTATATTGGAAATAATCCTTTAATTTGGCATTTCGATTTTTAAAACCTGAAAATTATAAAATAACATTCAAGTTTCTCATTATGTTTAGATACAAATATTTCCTTCATCAAATAACAATGTTTTTTGTTTTTACAAATTTTTTTAGCAGCATATAAGATTGGGCCAGACGTGATTAAATAGAATAAATGTTAATTTGAGTACGTACAAATTTTCATTCAAATTACAAAAAAAGTTCTTACCAAAGAAAAAGATAATTAAAAAATAAACTTACAGTTCTTTGTGCCATTTAGGAGAAAAGAAAGGAGAGCTCTTGAACTGAGACCTGGTAGACTGATTTCTAATTAAAGAATATTAAAGCTATTAAATTTAAAGAATTATAAACAGCTTTATTTGTGAAGACAAAGGTTATAAAAATCATCAGGTGGAACATATTCTATATTTTGATTCTATCACTATAATACACTTATACACAAGGTAAAATAAAGTTGACTTAATAATGTTAAAGCATTAACATTAAACATGATCAGTTCATGATGAAGCAAAACAGTGAATCTAATTTATTTACTTCATAACTTTTGATGTCTTGCAAATATTTTTCAAATGTTTTTCCCTATTATAAAAACGAAGAAACTTCCATATTCTAGAAAATTCAATTGATTACACTTTATTCTACATTATAGTTATCACACTGCTTTTTAGTAAATGTCAAGTTTGGAATAGTTACTTTTATATACCTTGAAAGTATATTTATAAAGTCCATAAAAATTATCAAGTAGAATACATCCAATAGGTTAACACCGTTATTATATATCTATATAAGAAATATGCTTGCACTTGTCTGTCCAGAACTTTTCTCGCTAATATCTCGATCAAACACTACAAATCTTGTATTGTTAGAAAGCCTTTATCCGAGGAGCCTGGATTACATATTGGCTTTTCCATTCAGAAACATCTTACCTGTTTTGTGCTTAGTGACACATTTTAATGCAATGAGTATGCTACACTATGGCACAATGACTGGCTTTGATTTCATCTTTAGTTTTTTATTTTCAAAGTATTTTAAACAAACAATATTTAACCTGCATGCAATTTCTTGACTTATTTAGGTTTAAAATATACATATGCAGTTCATACAAAACCATATGCTTATCACTTTATGAACACGCATTCAGATGTTTCTAAATATTCAGCCAATTTTGATTCATTATAGCTTTACTTTGCAATAATTTAGCTTCGGCTTGTTTCATAGACTACTATAAACACCTTTTAACTACTTTTTTCTTTAGTACAGATTTATTCTTCATTTTTGTGAGTTTATTTGTTTCAACTCTTAAAACCGTGTCATACACTGAATGTTCATAACTGTTTCACACTCTGTACACTGTAAATTGAATGCTCATAACTGTTTCACACTCTGTACACTGTAAATGCCATTACTATATTATATTGTTTAATTTAGGTGTAATTTTATTAAATAAAGTTACATAACTGTTTTACACACTGTACACTGTAAATGCCATTACTATATTATATTGTTTAATTTAGGTGTAATTTTATTAAATAAAGTTACATCTACATAAGTTTGTCTGACTGTGTAGAATGTTTTTTCCAATAGACTAGGATTTATTGATCTAAAACATGATGCCTGCAAGAAAATGTAGCTTAAATGCTGTGCATGAAAATGACAGAATAAGGAAAAATTCAAGCTAAGAGCATGAAAACTAATGCAACTGTCTGTCCTGAAAATGCATACACACCTTACTATCTAAGTGCACACATACTTAGTTTCAATGGATGTAAACAAAAGGCAGATGTAAATTTACTTTAGTTAACATTTTGTACAACAATATATTAAAAGCTTATCAAAGGTTTTAAACAGGTCTAATGTTATGTCATAGAATAACATTATAAGTTTATTAATTGACAGTATTAAGTATGGTAAACTTTAGCTCTAACTAAACTAAAGCAAAAAAAAACACAAAAGCACTGGTGTAAATTTCTCTCTTTATCGAACATATGCCATACTTAACAAGGTCCAAGACAAGTGGACTTACAGATTTCGATGTTTGTGATTAGAATTCCTGTATTTGTAGAGTTACTTTTGCAATAAAGATACTAATTTGACTGCAAATGTTTTGTGGGTCTCTGCTACTTTGTAATAAGGTTGTGACAGGTAGTCAGGTCAACAAAATTTTTAAAAAATCTTCTTTACAAATCTTACAGCTTTAAGTATATCAAATGAAATTTTTAAGACACTTTAATAAGTTCTCTACTACTGCTTAAACAGTGCATTTGTTGTTCACATTTCTTCCAATGGCTGTATAAAGGTAATAAACAACCAATGACCTAAGAGATATATAACCATGCCATACTCCTTAGCTCTTTGCACTTTTTTAACTTTTTTTTGTGGAACATTTAACATTATTGAAGCTGGATAGCTTAAAAGCCACAATTAAAAAAAAAAGATTGTTAGTATTCATTTAACAGTTATGGTTTGGAGTGTTTAATTTATTTCTATCTCTATCCTACAGACTTCACTTATTAATATAACCTAAATAAATATTTTTAAAAATGCTTTCACTGCAGCTTCACTCCCTCAACCTGCTGCATACATTTAACTGTTGAACACGGCTTGAGTTGAGGGGGGAGCGAACTGGAGCACCGTTCCTGTTGTAAGAAATTGTTGTGAAAACATTCTTGTTGTAGAATGCTCAAGGACATATGTAAGTTTAAAGATAAGTTATCACAATGTTACCAATTCATATCATTTACGACATGTCATTCTTTTATATTTGAGTTCCTTTTCTGTGTCAACATACATTGTGACATCATCAAATAATTGAAATAAGAGACTCTGGTGGCCCATGGATCCCCTACCTCATAAAGGCTGTGAAACTGAGTTTCACTTGATAACTTCACACAACACAAGCCCTGGTTGTACATCAACACATTCATTCTTATGTGAGGAACTTGAGTTAATAGCTATTTCTTCATACTCTCTTGAATAATACAATAAGTTCCAAGAAAAATGAAGGACAATAGCCTGAATTCTAGTTATTTAATTTTTTCTCTTTTTCCAGTTCATACTACCGCAATGATTTCATGTATTCATTTTTGATTAGAATTATATATCTGTTTGATTTTAAACTTTCTTTAAGTTTTATTGGTAAGCCTATTCAGGGTTGTAGCTCTGTACACAATGCAAGGGTATAACGAATATTATAATTTTTTTAAGCATTTTCGAATATACATACTTTAAGCAAAAGCCAACAAATTACAAATATTTATAACTCTGACAATATATTTAATGGTTAAAAAACATAACAATGTTCAAATGCTTTCAGAAGTCAATAAACAATAAATTTTACTTCAATGTAAAAAAAAAAAAAAACTACACCTCAGCCATTAAAATCAGTCATAGGAAAATTAATGAAAAGCAAATTGTGGAAGACTTTCGAAATGTAGTCCTCTACACTTGTGTTTTTACAACAAGCAGTTGCATCCATTTCAGTTTACTCATCATGAATACTCTGCCTACTAAACAATCTATCAAATAAAACTGTATTAATTTTTCACACAGATACAGTGAATGCAAAATAACAGTAGAAATATCCTTTGATCTTTAACATTTGTAAATATGAAACATACTGATGATAGCTGTATGGTTTATGTAATTCCATTTAGTTTCAAATCTAGATCAGTATGATTTCCAACAAATAGAAATTACATATTTTTAATGTAATTAAAACAAAAGAAGTCATCTTACCTCTGAGGAGAATGAACAAAACTGGTAATAATAACCGAGTTATCACTGGCATCTTCAGATAAAGAGAGAAAAAAAAGCAATTTAGCTTATGTACCGAATAATTTTTTTAACCAGTACATGAGCATAAAAAAAAACAACCTAAAACTACCCTACACTTTATTCAAGTTACTGATAAATATTGGTTCTGAAACTAGATAAAAAACTTAATTCAAACTCAATATAATTTTAATAAACATAATATCAGTGAAACTAATTTCATATTAACACACTAACAGAAAGAGATTATTTTTAAGTTTAATTCATTTATGGTAATATTTCATAATGAATTGCATTTGGTGAGTACTTAAATACATTAAAAATAAATTATGATATTACAGTTTCTCTTCCACTTCTCATTTTGTCAATATTGAATATAATCTTAAAAACTATAAAGTAGCTAAAAAACAAGCTTGCAGATTATAAAATAAAATGCAGTCATATCACTAGCTACCTTACCATCCTAGAAAGGTTTTCAATCTGCCCCCTTCCCTGTTATTTTACTTTTAATCTAGAAGGTGGTCAAGCTATTTCCAATATTTTCCGCCTAACTTTCTGAGCATAACAATACATATTTCTAACTTCTGCATACCCGCATACAACAGACTGACATTTTAACTTTTCTTCTACCTAATTAAACACCACTTTAGCTTATAATCTGTTTATAAAGGGTAATAAACCTCAGACTATACTTACTTTGAGACATTGCAAATTGATAGAACAATAAAATGTTCATTTTTTATTTATAAAATAATATTTGATTGAACCTACCATGATATACAATTTATTAGATAATTATTACAAAAAAATTGGCATCGCTAAACATCATGGTTTGCATTTGTGTGCAAGTTCTGAGGTAAAAGGGACAATATTTCCTGACTTTATACATCCTTTCCCAAATTCCAACTTTTCCAGGTTTTAATTCATAGATTCCTGAAAGATTAAATTTATTTATTTATATTGTTAAAGCACAAAAAAAACGTTCCAATAACAGTTAACACGACTATTGTGACAGTTCAAAATTTTTACATTGATGAAAATTTTACTTACTGCTTACTTTAAGTTAAACTTTTTTGTGATTTAATGTTTTGTTGAAATTGAACCCATCTTATTTGTATCAATGTTGATCTCAGATAAGTTTCTATCAATTTGAGTTTGGAAAAGCTTCTTTTTATAACAGCAACAGAGGTTGGCAAATAAAAATTATCAGTCCAACAAAAGCTAGGAAACAATAAGGATAAGCAGTTCTTACATAAGTGTTCCAATACTTTTAGGAATCATTTTAGTAATTCTCTGTGAAAGGATCTGCTATTTGTCACATACTTCTGCTACACTAACACAATCTCTTCACCACTTGATAAGTCAACTTGGACATCTTCTCAGTTGTTCAGAAACTCACTTGAGCTTAATTCCAACAAGTTAGCAATGCAATACAGAAAAAAGAACAACGAATTGTATTCCCATAATGGTTAAAACTTTTATTCTGCAGATTCAATGGCTTTATTAATGATTCTCTTAAAAGAGACTGAACTTGAAGTTTTGCCGTGGTTCAAAGATAAGTTCATCATAACTTTGGTGCGAAAACTGTCTTTTTTTCTTTTTCCATGAGCAAATATGCTGCTTTTATGAAGATTTCCAGTGATTTAGATTCCTTCTGTGAACTCTCTTGTATCTAACAATGCCTTTACAAAGCCTTCATCAGTCCTACACCGATAGAGAATTTTGTGTTTCTGTAATTTCAGAGTGGCTCAAGACATGTCAAGATCACTATCTCGCAACTTCTTGGTGGTGAGACTGATCACATGCAACAAGTCAAATGTCATCATAAAACTTTTCACAGGTTTGAAACTTAACACAGTGGCAGCAGTTGCTTTTGCTTAGAACACAGCTTTGTTTCACTGGCTTTTGTGGGAACTTTGTTTCCTGGAATAGTGACAATAATGTCATAGGCCTCTTCCAAGTATATTTCAACTTGAACAGAATCAATTCCACTTTCTCATTGTTTATTACTCATTGGATTTAAACTAACTAAGAAACATGTTGTAGCATTACTTACCAACAGTCAAGTGAAGCAGAAAAGATGTACATGCTTTGAGATGAGTTGAACAATAGCACTACCTCAATGGAACAGTTAGTTGCAATGGAGACCAGAGTGTCATAGACCTCTCCCAGCTATAACTGAACTCTAACAGGATCATTTCCAATTTCTCACTGCATACAACTCAATGGTTTCTCAATTAACTAAGAAGCATATTGTGGCAATACATCCCAACATTGAACTGAAGCAGAAAAGTTGACATACTTATTCTGAATTACAACTAAAGAACATAAGTGTCTCAATGGAATAGTTGGCTGCACTGTTCAACATGAGACTGAATGAATGCAACATGTGATACTGAAAAAAGTTCTTGTATTTAAGTTGCTGTGTATCCCACATTACATTGTGTGTATGTGCTACTGCTTTATGACTGTTACATCAAGCAGAGATGCCTCCAAATACTTGTGATCAGACAGCTACAGAGAATGTTAGATTGTACAACAATTATAACCTTTTTTTCAGTCAGATTTGTTTCTGATAATGAAAGAGTCAAGACTTGCTGTACAAGTCTCATTCAAGTGTATCCTGGTGACTGTTTTAGCTACTGATCATATTTGATCTCCCCTTTTCATTTATACTAGTAATTTCAAATTCAGTTTGTCTTCTTTACTTTTACTTAAATATAACTTTTCTTTCTATTCAATTTTAACCACCTATTACAGATCAATCTAGTTTCAATGGGTGATTCACTAATGTCAAAACAATCCGTTGTTAGAAAATAAAGTTTCTACTTCTTTTTCAACTTTACACATTGTCTTGCCTTTTTCCATACTGCAAGAAGTCTTTACACTCATCCTTCCAAATACTAGATCCATGAATTTCTTGTTGTTGAAGAGATTAGATAACCGGGTCCGTCCCAAACCTTGGGAACCCATAACTAAACATTTTACCCCACTCTCCCTTCAGGTACTTGCATTACATATTCAACTAGGAGAAACATAATGAGAAGTGTTATTATAGAAATACAGTGGCCTTAGCAAATAAATTCATCAGTAAAATTAGCCTCTCTACTTTGTCACCTTAGATGAGTGGATACTTTACCTATCCAACTCGGAACCCATACCATCACACACTGAGAGCTGTTATTTCATACAATATCAGTGTTCTTATCAGTACAATCAGGATGATGATACACGATGTCATTCAAGGAACCTTTTGATGAAATAGGTCTACTGTCTTATTTTAGTTTCTCATTATCTGATACAACAAAGCAAGAACTCTTCTGATTATGGTTCATAATGAATTGGTCAAATCAATTTCAAGCACTTTATGGAAGCTAAAATGTACCTAAAAATCACTCAGATTTCACTGAAATTTTATTTATTTATTTGTTCAACATGTGAATGTAGACTACAAAGAAAAAAAAAGTCTTTATTTATTGCACTCAACTCCACAACATCATTAAAATTAAATATATCGATATAATCTGCTACTATAATATCATCAAGTACTTTTACAAAAAAAGGCCCTTTTTCAAGCACTTTCAAGGATGCACCTTGTCTGATACAATAAAGTTTGGAGTATTAACATACCTTCCTTTAAGGATGTGCTTTGGTCAATGGTATTTTCTCTTTGCAAGTTTTCTTCACTGTGTTTGGACCTATTTATACTTGTCTGAGTTTTAGAAAAAAGATTCTGAGGCTGACACATATCAGTAATACTTTGGTCTTGTCTTTTTACAGACAAATGCACCTGTTTCTTTTCATTGGTATTCTGTAAAGTGTGTATAAGATGCCCTGCTGTCACAACATCTAACTTTTCTTTCTGAAAGGCTGGAGGATGGTATGGCTTGCAAACATCTCCGCTGCAAAATAAAATATAAAGTTTGGGAAAATGGCAATGATAATAAATGGGTTTAAAAATAAATTTCATTATTTTGAGTTCATTACATTTCCATAATGTTTTCTATCCCACAGACAGAAAATGAATATATTCTTATTATTCTACTATTAAAATATTTTTTAAAATATAGATTGATTAGGAATGTATTCACAATGTTTTGCTTCATTTTCTGAACTAAACCTTTCACTGAATGCAGGATAAGGCAGCTTATATGATTTTATTTCTATACTTAGAAAAAAAAACACATTTACCACATGAATCAAGTTACCAACAATAATGAAACTAAACAGATGTACAACTCTACCTTTTTTTTTGTCTAAAACTTTGTCTAATAAATGTCTTATTCAACATGATACACCACTGAAAATGAAATGAGAGCTTAATTATGAAAATAAAAACTGTTATGATCATAAAAAAATCAGCCATTATCACCCCATTTATATAACATTATAACAAATGTATTTACTAACCACATTCATTAAATAATCACACCTTCTAAGATTTATTCTAATTGGTGAAAGAACAACAACAACAGCATTGATGAACAAAGCATAGAAGCAGTAACAATCATAGAAGGTATAAATTGCAGGTAAAACTAAAATTACTGCATATTAAAATCAATATAAAATTTTATATCAAATGAGTAATAAAAATTGGGGAAATAGGAGACAACAAAAAATTAAATTTAAAAAGGTTCAAGGCAAATGCACTATTAAGAGACATAATTTTTTATGCTAGTTAAAGCTGTGAAAGCTGCAGTTACAGGGATAACCACCCCATCCAATCAATTTTACCTTTAGAGACAGGTCATTGCTAGATCAACCAGATATGAAGAGTAGAAGTTATGAGGACTCTTAAACTATTTTCAGTTGTTTTAAATACTGAATAGTGCTAAGAACATGTACAATTAGTATACAAAATTAGTTTTCTTGTTTCATCACTGTTTATCAAATTCTGACAAAGTAGTTCGACTTCACTGGAAAAAAAAACCCTTTTTACTAAGAATGTATCTTTCTTTTAATAACATTGTATATATTACCATCCAAAGGACACTCCTTAAGATGAGACAGTCAGATTATAAGATTTGATGTGGAGAACTGCACCACTTCTGAACCAGGTATACTCTTCGCCCATTGTAGAAAGATGACACAATATATGGGCGTAAAACAGAGGAGCACATCCAATGGGGAGAGAACTGTGGCCGGCAAGTGATCTGAACCATGCAATATTTATGAAACTCAATCCCAGAAATGATAAAAGTGGATAAAATTAAAAGGATGTGCCTCTAGGTGTAGAGTGGCTAGAAGGGGTGAACTGCATTTTTGACATCTCACTCCCATTTGTTTTTACGTTTCATAGTAGAGGATATCACATCATCTACACAGCCCTACTCTCAACTGAATAGTTTTATAATCATTTCTATATTGTGTTTGTATTTCATTAACCCATTCAGGAGCTTGCCTCCACAGTCCACCACCCCAGCAGCTTGGAACTGAAACGTGGTAAGGACTCTCAAGCTCCAATAGAAGAAAAGGGGGGTAGAATGCAGTGGAGAGTCTGGAGGAATGACAACACCAATTTATTCAATACAAGGCATGGCAGGAATGGGCAGCTATGGTCTGGAACAGAACTGGCAAACTTATGAAGCAATTCTTTTGTGAGAATAAACCTACAAGCAATCTTGTGGAACATCCCATCTCTGCAGAACTCAATGCGTGGTCATGGAATTATAACATGCAAGTCGACATGGCTTGACAGTGTGGATTAGAACAGTTAAAGAATACTTGGTCAAGCACCACTCACCCAAACAATGAGCATTAATAAAAGGAAAAGGGCCCCTGAAAAGAACAAAAAACAAAAAAAAACTTACCCAGTCAAAGTCTCGCTGAATTCTGATATTCTACAGGTGGAAGGTGATAACCCAAAGAGGAAGAAAACCACGATCCATTGCAAATAGTGAGAGATGAACGTATCATGGGTAGTCCACATGTCCGATTGAAGAAGTATCTCCAAAGGATGACAAAGATGAAATGCCAATGAAGAGGTAAGGTGACAAATTGGGTGAGAAGACACTCGGAACAAAGTATGGGAGGAAGACGATAAAGAGGAAGAAGCCAAGAGAATAAAGAGCCAAACACAATTGGCGAAGGAGGATGGAGAAAGAACACAAACAGAGGACGGTTGCCATGGAAGAAAGAGGCGGGAACAGACACCACAGTAGGAAGTCATGCAGGAAATATAAAAGAGAAGAGCATGTAGAGGACATAGAAGTCTATTCGGATTAGGATGAGGATAAAGGTGTGAAATGGAAAGAAGGGAAAGCAGCTAAACAGAGAAGTTATCCTCACCAGCCACTGAATTGTTAGGGAGAAAAATTATCCAGAGAAAGAAGAAGATGTGTAAAAGGATAAAGTGTACATGAAAATTGATGGCAAATAAACATACCACCAACATCCACAGGCAAATAGGAGAAGGTCCTTACACATAAGGGAAGGTGAAACAAGGAGCACTGGGAGAGTGGTTCAAACGTAGGCAAAGTGAGGCAGTGCAGGACCTCATTAATATCCTCATCTGGAAGAGTGGACTGCCAGGGTGGACAACATATCCAGAAAGAACATATCCACAGGTAAAGTGTAGAAGAGTAAATACCTGTGGGATCAGGAAAAATGAAAGGTGTGACTGAGGAGACAGAAGACCCCTGATCCAAAAGCCAAGAGAAGAAATCTGCATGACGAAGAACAGTGGGTTGATCAGGGGAAACCCTGGACCTAGAAACCAGCATGGAAAAAAAGAAGATCTAACATATGAATACAGAGGGATGGAGAACAAGTACCACCCTGATAATAGAGATAAGCAACCACTGTAGAAAAGGTGGAATGGATCATTACCAGATGATTTCTGCCCAGACGGAGAAAATGAACCAAAACACGACTTACAGTGAGAAGCTCCAGGATGTTGATTGGATAAGACCTCTCAACCACAGACCAAAAATCCTGAATCTTCCAGTTGATCAACCCACACACCCCATTCTTGAAGAGATGCATCCATGAAATTTGGAAAACCAGATGAGGAGGAGGAATCGGGACAACCACTGATGTGTAAGTCATATCTAACCACCAATGCCAATTGAAGACAAGGGCAGAAAGAAAAGTAATAAGAGCCGACAAAGGTTCCCTGTGAAATTCCACTGGTCATGAAAAGCCCACAAAAAAGCCTGATCTAAGGGGGGGTAAGGGGTACCATGAAAGATCACATCCCCAAAAGCGATAGAACTTTGCAAACTATAATCAAACTGAAAACCCATCAAACAAAGTCAAAGAGGAGAAGGGCAGGATTGACTGAGATGTGTGTAGAAAAATAAAAACACCCAAATGGACAAGATATTGGATAGGTCGCAGTAAGGACTTCTCCAACTTCAATAACAACCCATACAGCTGCCTCCTGTGCAACCAAAAAGGAAAGGATTGAGTGTTGACGCAAAGAATACACACAAGATTCTGAAGTCTCAGATACATGATCAATAACATATCACCAAAGAAAAAAATATAGAAATCCCAAAAAGAAAGATGTGGCAAATGTACCCAGAACAAAGTCATATTGCATCCCAGAAAAATCACAAAGTGTGGAAAGTGAGAGCTGAACACAACAAACAAGCCAACAAGGAGATAATAAGGAATCATAGAAAAATGGGAATTGGATAAAACATAACATATTTGAGAAATCACGTTGAAAAATGCTGTATTATGCCTAGGGGTAGGGGAAAAACACGGCAAAATCTGGTAGCATAAAAAAGCTATCAAATCTTTATTGGCCCAACCAGGTTTGGCTTGTTCATGATCAATTTCATGATAGATAATAGCAGAGAAATCCAACAACAGGTCTACCCCACCTGCAGCCCGTGAAAAAAGTGCTAGAGGTATAACACCTGAAGTGGGAACATGAACCTCAAAATTCATTGACAAAATACATAAATCAAACAAAAGTGTTTGATGGAAAATATTTAAGTGTGAGAAAAACAATTAAAGACAGGGAAATTAAACAATAAAAAATCACGATTCACACAAAGAGCACCAAAAGAAAAAACGTCTGAACACAAGTACTGCCAAATGAGAAGTGATAGTTCAGTAGAATTGAATAGAGGGAGTCACATGCATCATGAGAGTATGTTGCACTGTTATTGGTGGAGGGTTGATGCATGATGATTTGCATGAGAGATGCATAGGAATCAGTCAATTCCAATGGAGGGGAGATAGAAGGCTTGTGGCATGTATAAACAATTTTTGCATATAGAGGGCAGCACTGAACGAGAATAGCTATTTATGTGAGTTGAGGTAATGTACTGTATCTGAATTTGGACTTTGCAAAGTCACCCCTGATCCATAATTGTTATCATTAACAACATAAATCCAAATTTCCAACATTTCTAGATGCCTTGTGTGTTGCATTAACTCGCACTCAGTATTTTATGAAACTTTTGTCACTTGTTGCACAATATAACTTTTATACGAGATGAACTATATATAATCCATTAAGGTTAAAAAAAAAGTCTCCCTCCACATAAAACAAAACAGCTAAGTTTTACAAACAAGGATCTAAAAGTACAAAAAAATTGGTCTGGCCAAAATTTGTGCTAATGTAACTGCATACAATCAACCAAAATATATACTTACTTTGCGAGGTCACTTTGTACTGCAACATCTTGAAGTGTTGGGCTTGTATGCCATGTGGCAGCTTGATGAAACATAGGCTCAGATGTATACTGTTGAAGAAGCATCCTATATTGCTCACGTTCCTGGAGACGAATACTCTAGATTGAAGGCAGGAAATAAATTATCATATAAGAACAGCTGATTCTTCAAGCAAAATATTGAATATTAATTTATTTATCAAAAGATAAAACATATTTTTAAATAATAAAAAATACACTAAATTTCAAAATCATCATTTATGTATATCACTACATAAAACTATGTAAAGCATTCATCTTTACATTGTAAGATACTGCACCAAAGCTTAATCACAAATTTCCAATATAGAATGTAGATTGACAAAAAATTCAAAAGTTTGTCATAGCATAAAAAACATTTTATTCAAAAACTGGGAGATAACATTAATGTAATAAATTTATCTATTTACTTCTTTTCTAAAGTTGCTAACAACATTTAAACAAACATATAATAATTGCAGTTATGTAACACAAGATAACACTAAGAGTTCTGTCAGTCCATTGGACCAAGTCCATTCCTATGAAGCTATACAAACTATAACTGAAATGTTCTATGTAAAATTTGGCAAACTTTTAGTAAATGTTAAGTCTGTTGCATTCAAAAATACATATTTTTTTCATAAGGTATTCTTACTAAAGATTTATCTGTGGATTTTTAAAGCCTTTATTGAGTTAGTCTAAATGAAAGGTGATTTTTCATGCTATGAATAAAAAATACTTGTTTTCATCTTACAGTTTCATATTACATTTGCATAACTTCTAGAACCTCCTAAATGAATATTTAAACCTTTTTTCATTAAAACTTGATATTTTATCTCTTATTTTCTTTACTGTAAGACTAACTGTAGTGTGATCATCAATGAAAAGTTGATAAATATGAAACACAATGAACAATGTCATTCTTTTCTCTGCACTGCATAAATAAAGTTCCAAGTTAAAGTTTCAACCATTAACATTTTATGGTTTTATTGCTGTCCTTTGTAATTGTATTCACTGAAGTATTAATTGTTGTATGTAAAGCAATAAACCACAACACAACCCCATTAGCTGTTTCCTATGGAGCACCATGTGATTGTGATATTGATTTTAAGGTGTCCTGTTAAAAAGGGTTGAGCTAGCATAGTTTCAGATGTTTTATTTCACCAAAGTTTTGTTAGACTAAATTGAGGAAGTTTATATTTTTTACATTTTAGTTACTTTGGTTTAAAAAATATATACATATATATATATAAAAAACTGTATTTCTCCCAGATGCTCGAGGCAGTTTACACTCATAGACATTCTTCATCTCACAAATTTGGGTGTCAAATGTGACTTTCAAATATCAATTTTAGAATACAAAAAATATAGAATAGAATGCCCCAAAACTACTATAATATGTCTGGCTTTCTAATTAAACTATAAATAGGTTAAAAATTCTGTTAGCTGCTTGGAGTAGTAATATAATGATCACGCAGATAGACTTTGGTCAAATATATAAAGTAGGTGCCAAATCTAAATAACTGGTAACTGTAAAGGAGATTTTGCTCTTCCTATTGATTTTAAATATGTCCATCAGACATATAAAGTTAATTGAAAATTAGAGTAAGTGTGGAGGGGCTTCTCTTGTAGGCTTGAAAAACATATTGATATCTCAGTAAATCAAGAAGGCAGGTTGTGGAAATTTTGTATTCTCACTTGTTACTATATAAAGATTGTGCTTCTAAATGGATGGAATCTGCAGCAGTCTATAAAATCCTGAAGGGGAGAAGCTGAAGCTCACACACATCACATGACATATAAAAATTGAAGATTGATAATTTGTTTAATGTTTCATTTTGAAATTATGAAGTTAAAACTCAGATAATATAAGAAGTTGGATTATAAACTGTTTTTGTGCCAAATTTATTGACATACGTCGACAATAAAGTGGTTTAATGAAATTGTGAATGTAATATTGTAAAAGGACATGGCATGTGCATTTTGGCTCAGCTGAAGTGAAAGAATTAAATGGCTCAGGCTAATTTTAAACTACTGACCATACGGAATACAGGCAGCTAGCAGTAACCATTGCTTATGTAGCTACTCTCAATTGAATAGTGCAACTGACTGTCATACTTATAAGTATGAGAGCTGAAAGTGCAGATTGTGTTCAGTGTCATATTGCCTCGAACTTTCTGATCCACAGTCCACACACTAAACACTAGGTCAGACCTGGCCAAAAGAATTATATACACCTGGAAAAAAGTTAAGCACCCCCGTGTTTTTTTCAAGTGAT